TACAGCTTTAAAACCTAGCAGATAATCCTGTGGTTCTCTTGATATGACAACTGTGTAGTAAATGTATTTCACATTTTTATCATAAAATTTTTAGCAAAAAAGAAAAAAAAAAATTTGCTCTATAGGATGATAATTATAAGTTGAGCAAAAGCAAACCAAAGAAAAAAATTCCCTGAAACGTCTCAACTTCTCAGATTGTGATGGAGGGGTCACCAACGGTATATCGCAAATGAGGAAGAAAAAAACAGGTTAGACTATTTCTTATAAGGTCCATGTTCCTGCTAAGGGTTTGTAACTATCTAGAATAGTGATGGCGAACCTACGACACTCGAACCCATTTCGGGTGACACGCATTTCTAGAGCCGTCGACGGAGACACAAAGTTGCATAATACCACAATATTTGTCTCTTGCAGCGGCTTCGTCATTGTCAACAAGCATGTGGTGCGCTTATCTCAGGTGCGTTCGAATACGGCCAGATGGATGACACGGAAGGCAGACGGATGATTCTATATGTTACACGGCACCAGAATTAAGCTAAAGTTTTTTCGAATTTTAACATCCGAGCTCAAGAGATTCGCCATCACTGATCTAGGTAGTGTTGGTAGAGTTGATGCCACTAAGCTCCTTCCATTAACACGGAAACCCGACTACACTCGAATGGCACGTAGTTCTAAAAAAATAAATTGAAATATATAACTGCCTCAACGGTATTCATGTAACAGGTAAGACCTACCGCCCGCGAACCATTATCAAAACTTAAACGGATTAAATTACCATATTAAACTACATGAAAAGCAGCAGCTTATTAATCAACAAAGAAATTACACGTACTTTTATTAAATTACCAAACTATTATATTAAATTATACAAGAAGAATGCACTGATGCGGTCCTGAAGAGGTCATCACATCCCTCGATGGTCATCATTATAAGGAATTGTCAAATGAAAACGAGACGGACTATATAACGAGAATGGTGCGGAATATGGTAAAGCAGGTAAATTTGTGTATAGAAGCACCCTCTATTGGAAATCAGGAAGGAACAGCGCGAACGCTTACCGCTGTGCCATTTGCCTGTTAATGAACGTCCACACAGTACCCTCGCGACGTAGTTGACGCTTTTTTTTTTTTTTTTTCTTCTTTTTTTTTCACTAGCATTAATTGAGCGAAATGACGGTCAGTATTTCTAAGTAAAGTAACATAGGATATATATATAAATGATGCTACAAACTGGAGATAAGGAAAGCATGAACGTAAAATCCTGAAAAGCATTCTAAAAACTTGCGATCCCTAAATTTTTGTTTTGTTTAAATTTGTAATCCAAATTATTTTGTTTTGAATGGGGATATGGCATTAAAACCCAATCTAGAAGAGCTCGAAAGATGAGCGAAACATTCCTGAGAAACTGTGTCCCATAATTAAAAAAAATAATGAAAAGGACTAGTATTTCCATTTGGAAAACGCGAAAGTGTAATTTAAGTCGTACATTACTGCAAATACTAACACCGTACATACTCAAATCACTAATATTGCGTATATTAATAGTAATGAATATTGCATAATACACTCATTAGCATTTTATATCTAACATATTTGGTCATCTCATAAATTACGCAGTGGTTTTTTTTTTTTTTTTTACTTCTTTCATTTTTCAAAAATAAAGTTCTTTTTTATTCTAAAATATATTTATTAAAAAGGAAAAGGACTAGTATTTCCATTTGGAAAATGCGAAAGTTTAATTTAAATCGTACATTACTGCAAATACTAACACCATACAAACTAAAATCACTAATATTGCGCATATTAATACTAATAAATATTGCATACACTCATTTAGCGTTATATATATATATCCATTTTTTTGTTTTATTCATTCTTCAAAAATAAACCAAATTTTTTTTTTTTTTTTTTTTTTTTTTTTAAATTCTAAAATATGCTGTCCTTCATCCTCTGTTAAGACTTAATACTTACGATAGGATTATATTCCACCATTGTGTGAAGGACGTTTTCCTCGAGCTCTACATATCTTTCAGGCTGTGGCTTCCACGTTTGGAATTTCTAGAACTATCGTTCGTATTGGCTTACGCTTACTGTCAATTCCCCACATACAGCATTAATATTACTATTAATAATAATTCAACTGAACTCATAAGGCAAAATATGCCGAATAACATTCTTCAACTTTGAAAAAATAACTTAAAATCGAACTGCCTTCATCAAAATCTGCACTAAGAATAAGAAGGTAAAACTATTACTTGCAAATTAATGAAGGTAGTTTATCTCGTTCCATTCCAACTTTTAATTCAACAAGTGAAAAAACCGCATCCTTTATGGCTTGACCTTATATTACATATATATGTTAGAGAGACAAAATAGTAATAGTAAGAAATTTGTAACCAATCCACAAAAACATGAAAGAAATGAAACTTAAAACCAGTAAAATCCACAAATTTCCCAATAAAAATGTAAAAAAAATATATCAACAAGTGTTTTTAAACCAGAAGAAAGGGAAGACAGATTCAGTTGAATCTGATCTACCTCTTCTTGATAACGTTGAATCAGATTTTAACTGTACTCTTTTTCCTATTTTATATATTTTTGTACATTTCCTGTTGTTTTAAGGGATTTCTTCTGGTTTAAAAACGTTCGAGTTGATGCTATTTTGGTGAGTCTCGGTTATCGAAAATTTCCTATACTGCACCTAGTCAAATAAGAAGCCGGAATCAGAAGCTCCAGAAGGATAAAAAAATGTATGCTTTACCTTCTTAGAATTGAACACTGTAGAACTACAGTTCTTATATGATTTTACAATTAAAATTCTAACAAAAGTTTGAAATTACGATGTGCTTAATAAAAGAGGTTTTATAAGCGTAGACTTAAATATGAAGAATATATTTCTCCTCTCAAACGATTCTGACAATTAAATAATTAAAACAAAATAAATCCCATTCCTTTACACATGGACACTATCCTGAAATGATTATCTCTCACGTCAAATGCATCTCAAAATACAACATATATCTTTAAAATGGGGGGGGGGGTCGATTTACAGCGAATTCATAGCTTTTTTTAGAATAGATCTTTATCGTGGAAAAAAACCCGCAAATTAAAATTCAATTGTGTACAATACATAAAATATTCTTGAAAGGTTAAAAACTACATAGTTATAAAAATGTAAAAAATCAGACATCATTCAAAATTATTCAATATGGATTAGGTGAAGCCACTATATAAATTTCTATTTCCAAGTATAACATTGCATCTGATTAAGATAAGGATAGTGTCATGAGTTACAGGATATCCAAACAATCAAGTGCCTACGCTTTCTACGGTAACATTCGGCAAAAGAATGACAATATGCCTTTGGTGAAAGAATAACATGGAGGAGGCGCTTACGATTACACTCGTTATTAAATAACTGAGTTTTCATTTATTAATCTAATGCTACACTTTCAGATTTTGCTTACTGGTAGAACCGAGTTAAACTCATTGTATTTTTAATAATAATAATTTTAAAAATACCATAAAAAATGCTATGCTTTCCATACAGTTGAAATGTACCAAGAAAGTTCACGTTTCTTAGTGTCATTTGAGCTAATGTCACTTATCTTTACGATACACCGAGATGCAGAGATTGAAGCATATGAATATTTAAAAGATACTTTGTCAAATGTCATGTGAAGTGCTCAGACTAGGTTCATAGGTACCAAAATCGGAGCTCTAGAAGTTTCTAATTGCCTTTTAATGCACGCAGAGAGCAGAATTTGCTTTCTGCAACATTCTCTTTAAGTATACAAATCTGAATTGAAAATAAATAAAATAATATTTTTTTCAAAAATAAGACTGGACAGCTAAGCTGCAAATGGTTTTCCTCAAGAGTAAAAATTTATTCCTCTTATGAGTCCAGCAGAACCGGATATTAATCCGAAAAGAAATAATAAAGTGCCGAATTTTGATATTTTCCGAAGCATTTATTTCATGAAAATGCCAATCGTACATGCGTAACATGTACGATTGGGGTATCTTGAATTCCCAATTTACAAATTGTAAGTGAAAGTGAATTATGCTGTACATACACTTAACTCACCTGCAATTTTATAACATTTTAAATCAGTAATCCAGTAAATAAAAAAGAAAACGCGTTAATTTAAGAAATGTCTGTTTCATGTACAAGTCATCAGTAATCCTCTTAAAATATATCTTGAAATTCGCTATTTCACGACATTTATTCGACGCTTTTCTCAAAAAGGCACTTTTATGCAAAACAGTTTATATGAACATGCATAAGTATTCTAGGAATTTTAGCACCACAAAAAATAAAATAAGGGACAGAAAGTGCATATAAAGTTCCCTGTTTCAAAGGGATAAAGATTTCAAAGGGATGATACAGATTTCTTTTCCGTTTATACACAAATTTAGAAAATTTACTATTAAATATAGTCAAAGCAAAATTTCTACTAAGTTTGTACGAATAAGTTTCTGAAAATCGTGAACTGTGAATACCAGATAAAAATTATTCAGTTCACAAAAATGTGCTATTTCGTAATTTTCAATAAATATTCTTTAAATAAAGATGTACTCGATATTTTCTGGAATATTCATTTAATACCCCACGAAAATATTATTACATATAAAAGTAACCCTACACAACGTTAAAAAAATCTGCAAGTTCTTCAGAATACATTTTTGTAAGCTCGCAAGTTTTTACCCGTTCATATACTTGGCTTCTTTGCTTCTCCAAACTTTTCTAAAGCACTTTCTAAGAACTAAATACCATACGAAATCTAAAATTCAGAAAATATAAGTTTAAAACCAGCTTTCATTAGAAGTTAATTTCCAGCTTTGAGCTTCAGCATAGTAAACATCATAGGAAGGTCACTGACCTAAAAGATTTCATCTCTTAGCTCCTATTCCTCCACCTCCCGATCTTAATATTAAGACCACAACGTAGGGAATGGTAAAATCGGGTATTTCAGAACTCCAAAATACGAAAACACTTACTTGAAGATGGATTGGAATTTTCTTTACAGGAGTACCAGCCGGTGTTTTAGACATCATGAATGTGGAGTTAAATTACACACAATCAAGAAGAGAAAGCTCACACACACATCAGCACTAAGGATCAGAGTTACTGTTTTTTTAAAACTAGCGAAATCTTCAGCTATTATAAAATCATTACGTTCGCGAAAGAATTTTTTTTTTTTTCGAACAAAAATTGAAGAAGCAGGTGGGAAAGAGCTGGTTACAAGATGCTGATATGTCCGGAGTTTGTTTGGATGGGAGCGGCTCTCGAAGCCAAGCCCAAAATCAAACAGTTGGCGGCAGACCTGAAACCTGGATGTTGGAAATCGGTCTGCTCTGCCGAGCATTCAGAGCGATCGATACGACCGTCGCGTAATATCAGCTAGACGTCTGGACGAGGCTAGAAAAGCCTCACTCCATGGAAACCGGCAGGGGTATGCACATCGAGCCTGCCTAGGAGCCACTCTTCGCCTTTCACAAATTTTAGATAAGGATGCTAAGCCATAGTCTCTCATCTAACGAAGGAAGAACGCGCATCTGACTGCGTACAAAACTGGGTCGAACGCCGCTGCGCTTAATGAGCAGTTTCCTCTTCATTCACCTTTACGCGGCGTGGGCGTTAATTCTGAAGAGATAAAAAAGCATGTAGCGAAAAGTTGCACTTCACGAATATGAAAAGAATTGTTGACGTTTCTGAACTTTTCTTTACTTCTCTGAAGTAGATAACAGGAATGAAATATTTAAGCAATAATGAAACACAGATTAATGGAGCTTTTATAGGCAGTCGCTAGAAAGCATAGGATGTGATCATTTAGAAGCATTTCTATTCCGAATCATTTGCAAAAAAATTTATGCACTTTAAATAACGTTTTCGGCCAACAAGTAGTTGCCTTCTTTTAATCGTGAACTAGTATATTAAAAAATTACGCATAGCTGTTATAATCAAAGCGTGGTTACAAATCAAAAGTCAACACCCCCCCCCGAAAAAAAAAGCACGCTTCAGGATCAATCTTCTTGTTGCTTATGCTCATTTTCAGACGTAGTCAGCCCAAGCCCACGTAATTCCTCGTGGCAAGGAGCGCTAGATTACGCCTGTCTTTGGCAACAGCCTTGAACACTGAAAAGGTGACAGTGCGATTTGGCTCAGTTCCGTCCCCCCCCCACATTTTGAAGCAGAGCAGCCCAGGGGGAGGGACGGGTCCGAGGGTTTCCCACCTCTCTCCCCTTCCACCAAACCATAAGAGAGGACTTTTGGTTCAGCTAGCGGTATATTTAGAGTGTCGCCATGCCGCACTGACACTATACATTTACAAACACCCATGCCTTCTCCGGGATTCGAACCCGGGCCCTTCGGGACGGCAGTCAGCGTTGCTTAAGTCATCTTTTAATTTATGCATTTAGTAAAATCGTGGCATTCTGTCATTACTGAAAACACGAAATTAGGAGCTATCAGAGAGGGAAAATTATTAGATACATGAGTAAAATTTTAATTTTAGCTATAGTTAATATTTTAAATTGTAAATGCATTTATAATCATGATTTTGTCATATTTATATACTACAGCAAACTACGCATTTATATACTAGTTCACCGAGAGTGTTTGGAATGTATGTATCTACTTTATTTATTTATTTTTTGTTATGCCTTTGTGGCTTGGCCTGTCCCCTCATAGCCATATGGCAGGTTTCGTCTGGTAGGTGGGCTGGGGGCCAGTGCTTAGAACTAACTAACTACAGCAAACTACTATAAAACGGTCATACTACGCAGCAACCAAGTCTTCACGCAGATTTACAACTTTTTTATATGAATTAGTTCTCCGAGAATAATTTTATTTTTACATAAAGCCATGCTATAGTTTAATTTATTGAAAAAAAAAAAAAAAAGAGTTATGCGTTTTATGCAAAGTATCTCCTTTTAGAACAGAAAATTTTAAAAAAAGGTTTTACGTATTTAGTTTCCAGACGTGAAAACGTTTATGTGAATACTGAAAATTAATTTCATGGTTTGAAATGAGAAATGGGTTGCGCGTGCGCGCGCGCGCGCGCGTGTGTGTGTGTGTGTGTGTGTGTGTGTGTGTGTGTGTAAGAAAAATAAAGAATCTTATTACACTAGCAACGTAAATTTCCCTTCTCTATTCTAAAAATAGTAACCCCTCTGTGCACTGCGTCATTTCGAGACTATTCTATGTCATATGATTCTTGCGTAATTATGATGATGTAAATGGAAGTAAAACTCAACCAGCCAATAGTAATTTTAGAGCAATATTAACTATCCAATCAAAATGCTTAGAGAACCAAAACTAACTCAGTTTGACTTAAGATTTCATCCTGAAATCCGCACTTGCTTTCCACGCTTTGGCCTGGCCGCACTGTAGTCTGTCTGCTCTTTCTTTCTTATTGCAAATTCATCTAAAATGTAAAATCTCTTGGAACAGGCATATTTAATGTGCCTACTAGTGTGTAGCCGTAACATGTTGCCGTGAATAAAACTGAAGATTTAATCTGCCTTCGCCTCCAATTTCCTAGTCATTATGGATCAACACTTCTAGGCCTTCCAAATTCCTCCTCCTGCTCTTCAGTTACTTTGTTTTTATTGCATATATATGTGCGTGCGTGTGTGTGTTGCTATTGTTTGACTAATTTCACCGAAAGAAATGTTTCATATTTTATTTTAGGGAAACAACATTTTAACTACATAATCTTTGCCGATATAAATTATGATGAAAGTAAAAATAAAACTGCCTATTCTGTTCTGTTCGAGAAATTAAAATACCGATCACTCCTATAATTTCAATTATGAAAAATGTTATTATTCAGAAAAATTAGCTGTATTGTCAATCAGTTCCACTAATCAGTCTCTTGTTTCTCCTCAAATTCAATTGGTTTATTCATACTTAAAGCTCAATTTTTAATACTTATCGAAAATATTTTTAGAAATATTTTCTCTCCTGTGTTGTAAGGAAAGCTACAACCCTTCTCTTACATCTGTATGTGGGTTTTAACCATTACGACAAAGCATACGAGGACTGTCTGCCTAAGGAAAGGCATACTGTAGTGTAAGACTTACTAAAAGTAACTGGCTATATACGAAAACACAGTCATCACGTTCACTGGAATTTGAACAAGGTTTAATAACAGCATTAAGAGTACAGATATGTACAATTAGTTTTTCTTTGCAAAGTTTTATTTTTCCTGTTTCATGCAATATTTATTTCAACGAAAGTAACAGAGGTTCTGGCAGAAACAATCTACCATTTTATTATAGGTCTTACAGTAACACTTTATTAGGAATGTAAGGGACGAGAGTGGTTATTGATAAAAAAAAAATAGTGCCTTTTTATGTTTTATGCTTTGTTTGTCTTTTGAAAATCATATCTGAGAGATAACCACCGTTCTTTGTGATGCACTGACGAAGTCGACGAACGAAACCGTCCATTACTTTTACCAGCATCTCAGGTGAATTGCCTTGACATCTTCATTGATGAGACACTTCAGAATCTCTAATTTGGTGGCACATGATGCAAACACTCGGCTCTTGAGGTTCCCCCAAAGAAAGAAATCGCAAGTACTCAGATGGGAAGATCTTTCTGGCCACGGTTTGTCTCCAAAACGACAGATGATTCTCGCCCACTAACACCGCACTTAACGTTGTCATCGTGTATCCAGCGGTATGTGCTGTTGCCCCATCTTGATGAAAATAAGCTGATGACAAATCACTGCCGTGTATCTGTAAATTCAGGAATCAGGAAAAGTCGTCAGCCGGTATCTGTAACGCTCCAAGATAATCCTAAAAAAAGTAGAATCCGATAACCCTGGAAGCCGAAGCACCGCACAAACCGTAACCTTTTCACCATGGAGTGATATGGAGGTCATGTGGATTCACACTGTTCCAGTATCGTATTATTTCTTTGTGGACATGGCATGTTAGTTAAAAGTATGTCTCATCTGACATAATCAGGTTGGAAAGAACGCCTCTCTCGTCGATTACGTCGATGAGGTCTGCATTGAATTGCTTCCAGGACGCATAGTTGCGTTCGAATAACTTACGGTTCACCTGCATTTCATATGGATGATAACTTAAATCGCTGTGGCGCATGCTTCTGTCTGGCAAGTGTAAAACTACAGCATATTTGTTTATAGAAATCGTAGGATTCCTATCAAAGCTATTTCTTACCCTCTCAATGTTTTCTGGTGTTCGCACTGTCCTCGGCTTTCCCGAACACTTCTTATTCGTAGCACTTGAGGTAGCACGAAACTGATCAACCCACGTCCGAAGTGTGTACTGTTCTGGTACTCTTCCAAATCTCCGAATAATGAATTGCTGTCGAAACTTCCGTGTGTAGCTACCACACTGTCACCACTTTTAAAAATACGTTTTACCACAAAAGCGCGATGTGTCTTGGTCCAACGCTCCACTGTAACTAAAACTCTACCTTGCTCGGTTTTATACTCACTACGCGGCAGTATGAGCTAACAACCGTTGAAAGTGGTGGATTGTTTCTGCCGGACAATTTACATAAAAATTTTAATTTGATTCAAGACACTAGCATTTCAGCCCCTTTTAATTATTTATTATTTGATGTTTTATAAAAATGTATGCTTTAATACAGTTAAGCAATAATACCAAATAGAAAACTATATAAAATCTGAAATTGATTTTTTCTAAATAAATACAAATTTCATGTTTTTTCTAAAATGAAACTAATTTTCTAAATAAATAAAAAGTAAATTTTAAATCTTTAATAATTAAATAAGTTTTCAATTTGGTTTGGTCAACTGATTAATACAGAACAGGTGAGGGCAATCTGTCTAAGGGAAGGGTCTTCATAGGGGATTTTTTAAACAAAAGTGGGATGCATTCACGAGTTACAATACCGAAAACACGAAAGATCTTCCGGGATTTGCGTCTGGACTCAGTTGCTGTTGTTCAGTAGGCATGTCAGTAGACTAGTAGGCAAAATAAATTTGATGAATTATTTCCAAAGAACAGTAACTGCGATCAGTAAAAAAATATATCAGTAATGCTGGAAGCATTACTGTTATTTTTTTTTACATTAGTTACTATTTTAATAAATTCTTAATTTATTTTTATTACATATATTCGGACAATCTATACAATTATTTCGTGGTAAAATTTACGACAGTTAATAGAATACCAAGAACATTTTGAATTAAAAAGATGTCTAAAGCATGCATAAAAGAAATTTTTTTTTGAAATGTCACGAATTTTCTCGCCTTCTAAGTGAAAATTCAATAATAACTACTGACATTTCGTACAAAACCTAAGCTCTAATTTTAAAATTTACAACATAGTACAATACGCGATGAGTAAAGCTTCAAAACCAAGGATGATAACGTAAGATTACATACAATGCTGAGTCTACTGAACTGACGGATGATGCTCACCGTCATAGTTGATCTCACAACGCTTCAGTTCACCACGATACTAGAGAGGACAGGAAGCTCTAAAATTATTAAATTCTATGTGCAATCTACAATATTGAATGATAAC